CCCCAAAACCCCAAAACCCCTTAGAAATTCATTATTATGATTTTTAAGAAATATGGAACTTAAAAAACTATTTGAAAAGATTATTTAATATTCAAATACTTTTAAATTTCATTGATAAATATGGAGAAAACAAGAACATACGCTGTCATCGGTGCAGGTCCTGTAGGCTATGTTTTATCAATATTGCTAGCATTAAAAGGTTACAACGTCGAGCTATTTGAAAAGAGATCAAATCCATTAACTACTCTTTAATCTGATGAGTGGAGATCTACAAATTTTTTACTTCTATGTCGAGCTTTTCCCGCATTTAGAAAGGTAGGAGTATTAGATGAAGTTTTAAAGTATTCTGCAAAAGTTGATAAATTAAAAATAGTCTTAAGTGATCTTGATGAATTTGAACTTAACTATAGAGGAAAGGGTCCTGAAGATGTCGCATTTTCTTTGAATAGAAAGGAACTCTAAAAAGTTCTTGCTAAAAGGATTTAAAAATTCTAGGATAAGATTAAAATTTAATACAACGCAACTATTTTAAATGTGCAGATAGAGAAATCCAGTTTTGATGTTAAGCATCAAGATGGAAATGTGGAGATTAAAAGTGGTTATGATATGATATTTGGTACTGATGGTATTCATTCAGCTGTGTAACAAGCATTCTAATAGTTGGCTGGATTCAGCTTTTAACGAGAATATAATGGATATGGCTATACAGAACTCTAAATACCTGCTTTAGAATCTCAAGAAGGAAATAAATTCAGAGTTTAAGAGAAAACATTTTTTCATTGGCCAAGAAAAGAGTTAGATACACATATGTGGGGAATGCCAAATTACAATGGGGATATTAATATTGGCTTAATTTTGAAGATTGCTGGAGAAAATTCATTTGAGTATTTTAAGACCTCAGGCTTCCAGGAATTCTAGAAATTTTTGTTTGAGCATTTTCCTGACACTAGATATCTCATGCCTAATTTAAAAGATTTATATGATAAGTGCTAGTTGACTAGAATATAAACAATGAAATGCGGGCCATGGAGATTCGGAAATTTTATGCTAGTCGGTGATTCTTCCCATTGCTAAAATCCTTTCGGAGGCTTAGGTTTTAATGGCAATATGGAGGAATGCTCCTTGATAGATGATTTAATTGATAAGCATTAATGTAACTGGAATCTCATTGGAGAGGAATTTTATGCTAAAAGAAAGCCTATTGCTGATAAAATGAATGAATACGGGGATACTTAATTTGCTATCTTTAAATATAAACTTTTTGAGGAACCAATCTAAATAAGTATGATTATTTAAGATTACATGAGTAGATATTACGGTGATATATTCTAAACTGTATCCTAACTAATCAGATATTAGGATAAAGATTTCATAGAATGCTTGAATTATGGCCCAGTTTAATCTAAAATATTTAATGAACTAAAGAAGGAAATACCGAATTTCTTGGATGTAGTTAGAACTGGAAAATTTGATCAAAGAGTATATGATATTTTGGCTAAATACAAAGATATAACTGATTTGAGATAGATTGAAATTTATTCAAAATCATAAGCTGATAAAGCTTAGAGTGCAGGTAAAACATAAGAAAATTTATTTTCAAAATATTTGCCTAGTTATCACAAAAACAAGCCTAGACTTTGAGAAAACTAATTAAAATACTATTAATTTGATATGATATTCTTATTTTAGAATTTTTATAAATTCTTTCCCTATGGGGTTTTGGGGTTTTGGGGTTTTGGGG